AAAATAAATAAACGTTGGAAAAAAAAAGAAAAAAATATTTAAATGTAATTAATAGAGATATTAATGAGATATGAGATAAAGGGATATAAAAGATAGGAGAATATTCATCATTTATATAGTAGTGGTCTCCTATGATGAAAACCGAGTTAGTGAAGCAAAAATATTTTAAAAATTAGAATTGAAATGTTTTCTGAAATAAGAGTTGAATGCATATGCTATGTATATATGTAGAAAATGACTCAGAATAGCCAATTGCAAGACACATTCCAATAAAACTACTGAACTTTAAAGAAAAAGAGTAAATTCCTTGGAAATTCAGAAATAAGACAAACACTCACTTGGGAAAAAAAAAAAGTTTGTCATTATTCTTTTTGACAGTAATACTCCATGGAAGAAAAATCCAGAGTGAAATATTTAAGACCAATGAAGAGAATACGATTTGAGGCTTTTATATCTAATCAAATTACATTCAATTTCCAGGTCCATAGATAAACTGTCATTAATGCACAAAGATACAGGAAATGCCGTTCTTATAATCCTACTCTGAGGAGTCTATTACAGGATAAACTGTAGACAGTTCAATGACTGATTATCTTATTAACAGGGATAAAACAGTATTTCTTCAGATTAGAAATGTGGGAAAAGGAAGTGGATGAAACAGAAGCATTGCTCACAGGAGGAGATAAACAGACAGAAGAGGGGGAGGCCAACTGGATTATGTAAAGTAAAAGTAAGAGTCACAACAAAGGTCAAGTCCAGCCACAGCCTGGTTGGACACGTAGAATTTTGTTGGAGTACAGCCGCCATTTTGTTTACATACTGTCTCTCCCTTCTTTCAAGCTGCAACAGAACTGAGTAGTTCAACAGAGACCATATGGCCCATAAAACCCAAAACATTTGTTATTGTAGCGGTCACATTTGGAGTAGGAGAGTGAATCAGTGCATTATTTTGAAAACCAAGAAATAAAAGGGAAGAATCAAACATTTTTTTTCCCTGTCTTTCCTACAGGAGGAGGATGTTGGGGTGATTAAATATTTGATATGGAGAAGTTTCTCTTTATGGAAATATCTGGCTAATAAATGCAGAAGAAATGGAAGGAAGGAATGGATAGGAAATGACTATCGGGGTTGTAACCATCAGGAGAGTCACAGGGACTGCTGTGCCTCTTTAAGGAAGCAGTGAATATCACCTACAATTTATTTGTTAAAAACCAAAAAAAAAAAAAAACAAAAACAAACAAACAAACAAACAAAAAAAAACAAAACACCAACAACTAAAAAACCCAGAAAACAGTTAATCAAACAGGGCCTCTAGCTCTCACTACCATTTTACAGGAAATAAAGGAGACAGAACAAGATCTGAAGTGGCCCCTTGAAGGTTCAATAGTTGAAACCCACTCTTCAGAAATCTGGTTTCTTTTCCTTTGAATGTTTATTTATTTTGATAGAGAGAGAGCATGAGCCAAGGAGGGCAGAGAGATTGGGAGAGAGACAGAATCCCAAGCAGGATCCCTGCTGTCAGAGCAGAGCCTGACATGGGGCTCTAACTCACGAGCCATGAGATCATGACCTGAGCTGAAGTCTGACACTCAACTCACTGAGCTGCCCAGGCGCCCCCGAAATCTTTAACAAATAAACATCAGAGGGAGTCAAATCAGGTGGTGGTGGTGAAGCCTATAGTTTAACAGAGACACTTAACACCCTTTTCAACCAATCATAATAGATGGATCTAATTTTTTAATATGAATATTGACTAGATATTCAATGATATGGAGGGACTTTTATTAATTTTGGGGGATTAATAATGGTATTATGATTAAGTTTTGGGCCCTTATTTTTAAGAGACACACATTGAGATATTTTGCAGATGAAATATTGTGTGTCTGACCTGCTTCAATATAATAAGGGAGGGAGTGGGTGAGAGCATTTCTGGGGACTTGGTAATGAACTTGGGTAGTCGCCACTTGGAGAGTCATTATAATCCTCTCTGGAATTTTATGTATGTTTGAAATTTCTGCAGTAAAAGATTAGCATGTTTCCAATATTCCTAGGGTCAAAATTATGAAATGAGTTCTGAAATGGTCCTACTTTAAATATGAAATTGCATTTAAATATTAAGTTCAGTTACAGCATAGTTATAAAACTTACTTTGCAAACGATTTCATTAATAAATTCTTGGTAAAGGAATTATGATAAAATACTTCTTTAATGAATCAAATCTCCCTTCTTTATTACTTTATTCATATGACATATGGCTGAAGACCACGGGACAGCTACTTCTAAAGCAGGGATAAACCGTTAGACCATTAATTAATTAACCTAATTTACATAATGTTCTTATTTTTGCATAGCTAATGAACTAGAGGTTGATTATAGGCCATTAAGAGTCATTAATAAGTGAAACAGTGATTTAAATATATGAGTTTGTATTGCAGACTCACGAGGCAGAGGTCAGTCACGAAATGTTAATAACAATATTAAAAGCATCAGGCATTAAACAAACTAACATTTAGCTTTTAGACTTCATTCACTTCTGAGAGGCTAATTCAGGAACCTGATAACTGGTCTCAGTTCTACAGGCAAACTTGGGCACCTGTAAGAACACTAATGGGTACGTTAGCTAAATTTTTATTAGCCTTAGGTTTACATTAAAGTAACGAGAACTAGTTGTAACACACTCACATAAAAGTTATCGCTTTGTCTTTATTCCGAGAATTTGGAGCTGTTTCTTGAAAACTGCCAAGTTCTACGACCTATATATTTAGGTTTTTCTTTCTAAATCTGTTTCTTTTTTTTTCAAATAAAGATGGCAAATACAGTTTTCAAATAGCTTTCATATTTTTCTTAGTTGCAAGAAGGTAGTTTACATTATATAATTTAGAACCACTCTAACTTTCTGACTCCTGGTTTAGACAATTCAGTTGACAATTTGAAGCTTCCTCTATATTTTATAAAAATGTAATTGCCTGCAGCTTAAAGATTTTAAAAGCTGAAGAAACTGGTCTGCTATTTAAAAATTTTTTAGTGTTTATTTTTGAAAGAGAGAGAGACAGACTGTAAGCAGGGGAGGGTCAGAAAGAGAGAGGGAGACACAGAATCCGAAGCAGGCTCCAGGCTCTGAGTTCAGCGCAGAGCCCCATGAGGGGCTCAAACTCACAAATAGTGAGATCATGACCTGAGCTGGTCAGATGCTTAAACGACTGAGCCACCCAAGTGCCCCTGGCCTGCTATTTTTAAACAATTTGATTATGCAAGTGATGAATAATCGCCGAACACAACTTAATTCCTTTAATTCCAAAGGTACACCCTGTATAATCGGATTTTTTTTTTCAAATGACTTGGTTGTACCCTTACGAGCAAGGTGCAGCTCTCTACCTAGATCAGGAATCCTTATTGTCATGACCATCCACTACTGACCTGGAAGAGGAGATTCGAGGGCACATCGCCTGGTCTCCTTTCTCACACTGCCTGGAGCTCTCTCCCTCTGGCACCTGCATCCTGCTGGGGCCTCTCACTCACTCTTCCTTTTCCCTGCTCCCCCTTCTACAGAGGCTGATTTTTTTTCTTTTTTTTTTTTTTAATATGAAATTTATTGTCAAACTGGTTTCCATACAACACCCAGGGCTCATCCCAACAGGTGCCCTCCTCAATGCCCATCACCCACCCTCCCCTCCCTTCCACCCCCCATCAATCCTCAGTTTATTCTCAGTTTTAAAGAGTCTCTTATGGTTTGCCTGCCTCCCTCTCTTTTTTTTCCTTCCCCTCCCCCATGGTCTTCTGTTAAGTTTCTCAGGATCCACATAAGAGTGAAAACATATGGTATCTTTCTCTGACTGACTTATTTCACTTAGCATCACACTCTCCAGTTCCATCCACGTTGCTACAAAAGGCCAGATTTCATTTTTTCTCATTGCCACGTAGTATTCCATTGTGTATATAAACCACAATTTCTTTATCCATTCATCAGTTGATGGACATTTAGGCTCTTTCTGTAATTTACCCAAGAGATACCAGAGTACTGATGCATAGGAGCACTCATACCCCAGTGTTTATAGCAGCACTTTCAACAATAGCCAAATTATGGAAAGAGCCTACGGACGCTGATTGAAGGAGCACCAGCACGGGAAGGACCCGCAGCCAAAGGTCACTGTTTCAGAGTCCCATTTCATGCTCTCTCTGGGCCTCTGTTCTACCAATGGTTAGATTAGATTTTTCTCTGGTCTTCTATACTGGTAAAAAGGTGGTGTGATTATAAAAAGATGAACTCCCTGAAGTGCAAAGGAGTATTACCTGTGTGGATGGAAAAGACCAGCCTTTCTCTCGTTATTAGTAATATCTCCCAGAACCTCTGCTGGGTCCCTTCACAAATTGGCTTTACTTGCTCTCCTGTGCATCCCACAGACAGGTGTGGGAGAAAGATTTTGGAGTGAAAAGATGTGAGCTTCAATCTCCAGGTTTTCATTTACCTACAGTGTCATTTTTTAAAAAGTCACTTAACCTTTTCTTTATCTTGTCTTTGTAAAATAGGAATAATAATTTTCATCTCCTAGAAATGGATGTGAGTTAAATATCATGCCATGCATAATTTACGATATATGTTAGTTGCTGTTTGAAGATGCGTTTTCCACATTTTCCTTTGCACTTAAGAAAATCCGTAAGTACAAGAAGTCACACAATTCAGAGAATGTCGAACAATCCCCTCCCGTTAACAATACATTCCAGAGAGTTCGCCAGTCTTACAGTGAGACTGAGAATAAAGGTTATTCTAACAAAAGCGTATACAAAATTTGGAGGCAGCATGTTATTGCCTTGATATTTCAGGAGTATGAAATCGCTCCTTGTGCTGTCCTGCCTCAGCGGCTGAAGTGGACGTGGAGTCAGCCCCAAGCGCTGATGGTCTCCCAAGCTCTCCCCTGATAGCTTTCAGACATGTGTATTTCATTAGGAAATGAGCAGAAGCACCCCAAAATTCTTAAAAGTGCTGAAGTAACATGACTCACTTTTCGAAGGAACTCGGAGATTGGCGAGGACCACTTCCAGGGAATCAGCCTGGACGCGAAGCACATAGCTCGTTCTTGTCTCGTAATCCAGAGGGGCATTGACATAGATAACACCCGTGATGTTGTGGATTCCAAACAGACCTGCAGTTAAAACACAGCTTCTTGATCATTTCCCTCACACTATAAGAGGAAAATTAAAAAGTCGCTTTAAAAGCCCTGTGATTTTAAAAGCACTTCTTTTTTTTTAAGTGTATTTTTGAGAAAGTGAGTGGGGGAGGGGCAGAGAGAGAGAGAGAGAGAGAGAGAGAGAGAGACAGAGGAACTCTCAGGCAGGACCCATGCTGTCAGCATAGAGCCTAGTGCAGGGCTCGATCTCATGAACTGTGACATCATGACCTGAATTGAAATCAAGTGCCAGATGCTTAACCAACTGAGCCACCCAGGCGCCCCTAAATCACTTGTTGTAACAAGAGTAATGCATGAGGGGTGCCTGGGTGGCTCTGTCGGTTAAGCCTCTGCCTTGGGCTCAGGTCATGATCTCACTGTACATGGGTTCGAGCCCTGCATCAGGAGCTGTGCTGACAGCTCAGAGCCTGGAACTTGCTTCTGATTCTGTGTCTCCCTCTCTTTCTGAGCCTCCCCCACTCACAGTCTGTCTTTCAAAAATAAATAAATGTAATACGTAATACGTGAAAGTGACAGGAGGCTTTCACAAACTTCAGATTATCATCAGTGCATCCTTATGTGAATACCCTGATTTTCCAGTTACTTTGAGATTCTCCTAGAAATCAATGTCTCATCAGTCAATTACATTTGGGAAGCACTGCACACTCAATTAGTCACAGTAGATTTGGATGGTCCTCCACATCCTAGGGGGCATTAGACGTTGGTGATATTTAGGGAGGGGGCATAACAGCACAGTGGGAACAAAGAAGAAAGGCAGCAAGAAAAGTAAGATGTGAGCACTGGCTGCAGGGAGAGTGATTTCTAGTTAATGGTTGGTCATTGAAACACTTAGAATTTCCTTGAAAATTGCTTAACGGCATTTATTTATAGTCATTCATATAAATATTCAATATTGAATCTTTATGTACTTACTACATGTATATTGACTCTTTCCTGACCGCTTACGACATGCCTGGCCGTCCAGTTTATCAAAAGAGAAAAACAGGACAACAGGGAGACAACAGGAAGCACAAGCGGGGGAGGGGCAGAAAGAGAGAGAAAGAGAGAGAGAGAGAGAGGCACAGAATCCAAAGCAGGCTCCAGGCTCTGAGCCCAAAGCGGGGCTTGAACGCACAAACTGCGAGATCATGACCTGAGCCGTAGTCAGATGCTTAACCGACTGAGCCCCCCGCAGGCGCCCCAAATGTACCAATTACTTTTAAGTTGGAGAGGATTTTATTAGAAAAATGGGGTAAGTAGTAATTCAATCCGAAATGAATCTCAGAGCCCAGTTTGTTAATTTATGGCGAAAACAGAGACTGAGGATCCACTCACCGTCTTCGTTTCCTGAGACAATGGAGTACACGATACTCTGGTTGACGGCCGCTGCAGAAATGACACCAACTGTTGTGCCTCTGGCAGCAAGTTCGCTCACCGGAGGGGGTCTGCAGGTTTTAGAAGATGATTCATTTTTTACAGTCCATTTGTCAAGACAGAGTTTGGAATTCAATAATACAATGAGTTAGTTTAAGTGTGTCTGTGCGTTTATTTGCATAATACATTTTCTGAAGTTTTCATGGTACTCCCACATTGAGACGCCAGCCCTAAGAAACTGGGTTCAAAATGATGCAAATGATCTCGGTTACGAATGCCATGTCACCTGCGTTATTTTTAATTTAATTTAAAAATAAATTATAATAAAATAAAATTAAATTAAATAAATTATAATTAATATAAAAATAAAAATATAATTTAATTTCAGATACCATTTTATTATCTGCCAAACATTCTACAAAATTCTCTCTACTCGTTTCTCTACGGTACCTTCTGAACTGAAAGCCAGCGGTTCCGATCTGCTCCCTCAACTTGCTAAAGTGCAATGTTGCTCTTGTGTTGTTGACGTTAGCAAACTTAAGCAAATAGCTTCCAGATGACTCTTTCTAGCTCTTATTCTTGCTCGACCGGGGAGCTCTAACGGTTCTAAGAGTATGTGAACAGATGGTGTCACAAAACTCACCTTTCTCTTGAACTCACTTATTTCGCTCAACTGCAGCCATGTGATGCCCTCAGTATTGGGATTATTCACTTAATTTCCAATCTATATTTCCAACAACACATCTGATTCTCAAATTCTCCATTTTATTTTGCGATATCGGTCACTCTAACTAGGCTATCCTAGCTTTAATCGTAAGTTAATGAAAATAATCTCGCTTTTATAAAACACAGGTATTTATACTACCCAGATCCAACAGATTTAAAAAAAAAAAATGGCAACTGAGAGGTTTGGACAGCATCTCTGAATCTTTCTGTGGTCTAGCCAATCTACCTAGTACACACAACTTCTGTAACCTTCCTCATCTTTCCTCCAGCTGACAAGACGAACCCTGCTGTCATTTGTTCCACATGACTTTTTCTTAGGATACTTACTCTTCTAATATCACTGCTTATTTTTTTCTCCATGCTCTCAATTCTTCTCATCTGGATTACACTGTGTGGTTACCCTGTGCGGTCACTGAGCCCTTTGATAACAAATCCTGAACTATAATAACATTCCGGAAAATTAATTCTATCCTACCCTTTATAAACATGTCCAGATTGCTGAGCTCTTTCCCCTTTAGTCCATATGCTCAGTTAAGCGACCTAAATGTAAATAAAGTGATCTCCTTTACAGACGCTTTAACCCTTAATGGGGGTCCATATATATTCACTATACGTTCAAGACCTACTTTTTTTTTTTTTTGCTAAAGAATAAACACTAACCTATATAACTTTTAATGAAAATGATAAAGTATGTATGTACACATGTATTTTATTCTCGCCTTCCTTTGTTACAGTATCCAAATGTCACTTTGGACAACGACACCTCCTCCATACCCCGTATAAGTGGTTGGGGTAAGGTCTCCCCAGGCCCCAGGGTGTATGGGTAGACTCATTATCCACCTCTGGCCACTGAGGGTACTTTTTCTCCTTTGCTCAGTGTTCATGTCTCCTGTAAAACCAATGGCAATCTTGCCCGGAAATTTTATTTTAAGTGCTAGAAAAAAATGTTTGCAAGAATTTTCATGTTTTTTGATGTTACCCTGTGAGAAGGTTCTTGTTGATCATGATACCAACACAAATGAAATAACCACAGGCTGGAAATAGATCCCTTGGACTAGTATTCTAAATGCTGCTGTACTTAACACGAGGTGAGTTCATCATTTCAGCCACTGAAACACATTGTCTTTTATCTGTGATTTCTATCATCTCCAACCAAAAATGTTCCCACTAATTAAAAAAGAAGATGTTTAGGTTAGAAAAGGAGACATTTGCCGAGGCAGATACTTGTAAAATAAGATATCTGAGATAACACAATTACATTCTATGAGCAATTTATGTACATGTGGGCACAGTGTCAGTTTAGAGAGATAAAGATGCCTCTGGTAATTTGAATGGAGACGGTAATAGTCTACCACAAAAAGGAGACATTTACCAAAGCGACACAAAGGCTGGTTTCGATGGGGCTTTTGTATGACACTTTCGTAGGATATTTCAGATGATAAAGGAGACTTTTAAATGATTTGCTGTTTGTCCCATTGCTTAGTGATTGACCATGGTAGCTGTGAAGTCAAACACCTGGAAAGGACTAAAATCAGAGAGTCATGGAAACACGATCGTCTCCAAAATGGACCTCAATGATCGCTCCCCCTGGTATTCCTTCCTTTGTCTCACCCGACAGCCAGGCTGTGGCTGGATGTGAATCAACAGAACAAGGCAAAGAAAATGAGTTGTCACCCCAGTGATTCCATTACATAAGACTGTAGATTGTAGGCTCTGACTCCCTCCCTCGCTGGATTGGATGAAGGGGACAGGGAACTGAGAGTGATGTTGCCACCACTCAGCAAGGAACTGAGGCCCTCGGCCCAACATCCCTCTCAACTGAATTCTACCACCAACCACATGAGTTCAGAAGCAGCCCTTTCTCTAGTCAAGCCTCACAGGAGACAGTACTCCTGGCCACCACCTCGATTCAAGCCTGGGTGCGACTATGAAAACAGAACACAGGCAACCTAATTTTGACCTTCAAAAACTTCAAGACGATATATGTGCTGTTTTCACTCATCACGTTTGTAAAGATAAGGCCACGTGCAAGAATAATGGACACACGTGGCTTGAATGTTAGGAGCAATGAGTTGTCAATGTATGAAGATCTTAATGTTGACATAAGAAATGTTGACATAAGAAAATGCTGACATAAGAAAACACACGTCCGCCATATTCTGGGGTGACCTTCATAAACTGAATTTCCTCTCGTGGAAGTAACATTGCTTAAATTGTTTGCTTGTCTATCTTGTTACTACTCAAGAGCTGAGAGCTAAGTTTTATACTTCCTATAATTAATTTCTTGTCTGATTCTTATAAAGTACAGAAATATAAAGTCTGCAGCTAATGTACCTTCAGCTTTAACGTTAGAAAAATGCCACCTTCATTTCAAACTTTAAAAACAACATTTCGGGGTGCCTGGGTGGCTCAGTCGGTTGAGCATCCGACTTCAGCTCAGGTCATGATCTTGCGGTCTGTGATTTCAAGCTCCCTGTTGGACTCTGTGCTGACAGCTCAGAGCCTGGAGCCTGCGTCGCATTCTGTGTCTCCCTCTCTCTCTGCCCCTCCCCCACTCATGCTCTTTCTCTCGGTCAAAAATAAATAAACGTTAAAAAAAAATTCAGGGGCACCTGGGTAGCTCAGGTCCTGGGGACCCTTCCTAGACATCTTCAGTCAAGCTGGGTCTCTGTCCCCCCAGGAGATACAGATAAGAGCACTGTAATGACAGTGGTTCTATCTTTAACAGATATGGGCCGTGAACACTGGAGACACTGATGGTTTCATCCCTTTAAAACACCTCCAGGAAGGACCTCCAGAGACTCTTCCACAGCGGTGGATCCCAGCGGGGTTGGATGCCCATGGGTACCGCCACACCCCACCATGGAGCCTGGCTGTGATTTATCCCCCGAGGCCAACACTTCGGGCTTTCTTGGGCATTTTAAATAAAACCTCCAGATTCTGAATACAACTCCAACATCACCTAAACTAGCTCTTAAACAAAGCCTAAATCATATTTCAATTTAAGAAGCTCAGGTGTGAGAGATATCAAATTTACATGTGATTCGGTCATTAATCTCACTATTCGCATTCTCCTTGCCTCCCCTAAATTTTACATGTAAAACGGCTGTATACTTTTTGACACCACATTTTTTTTGTTTTTTTTTACAGCAGTTTTCTTTTTTTATAATTCAATTTTTTTTCTAAGTTTATTTATTTATTTTGAGAGAGAGACAGAGAGGGAGAGTGAGAGAGACAGAGAATCCCAAGCAGGCTCCACACTGTCAGCACAGAGCCCAACACGGGGCTCAGATCCACAAACCATGAGATCATGACCTGATCAAGAATTGGATGCTTAACGGACTGAGCCACCAGGCGCCCCCAGAGTGGTTTTAGATTTCCTGCAAAGTTAAACAGAAAGTATAGAGATTCGATATGCACTCCCACCCCTAGTTGTCCATATTATTAACACCCTGCATTAGTGTGGCTCATTTGTTAAAACTGATGAGCCTGTACTGATACATAATTATCAAGTAAAGTCTTATGTTGACATGAGGTTGTTCTTGCCTTGTATACTTCTATGGGTTTAGACTGATTTATAATGTCATATAGCCATCACTACTAATCATACACAATAGTTTTGGTGACGTCAATTTCTCCTTTTCTTCAGTTATTCATCCCTCCTTCTGCCTGAACCTCTGGAAACCACTGATCTTTATACTGTCTGTGTACATTAATGTTTATTTTTTGAGAGAGAGACAGAGCATGAGATGGGGAGGGGAAGAGACACAGAGAGACACACACACAGAATCCAAAGTAGGCTCCCAACTCAGGGCTTGAACTCATGAACCATGAGATCGTGACCTAAGCTGAAGTCAGATGCTCAACCTACTGAGCCATCCAGGTGCCCCAGTGCCATTCTATTTTTACTGCTTACATAATGTTTTGTACTAAAAAATTTTTTTTTAATCTTTATTTTTGAGAGAGACAGAGTGCAAGCAAGGGAGGGGCAGAGGAGAGGGAGACACAGAATCCAAAGCAGGGTCCAGGCACTGAGTTGTCAGCACAGAGCCCGATGCGGGGCTTGAAGCCACAAACTGTGAGATCACGACCTGAGCCAACCGACGCTTAACCAACGGAGCCACCCAGGCACCCTGACTGTCTGTATACTTTTGCCTTTTCCAGACTGTCATATAGCCAGACTCATACAGTACATAATCTTTTTTGGACCAGCTTGTTTCCTTCACAATATGTACTTGAGCTTCCCCTGTGTCGTTTGGGGGCTTTATATTTTTATTGCTCAGTCACATTAGACTATAAGAATGTACAACGAACAGCTGCTTTTGAATAAGAAGAAAATTGATCA